GGATATTTGTTATCCAGCATTAGAGAACTAATACAATAGAAAACCATGTGATAAAATCTAAAGATATGGGAACAAAAACCTCACCTGATGAAATAACATTTGAGCTAATAATATGAGGAGAGGAATGAATTACACAAAAAGGAGGGAAAGGTATTTCAAGGAGCTATGCACACACAAACAAGGGCCCTGTGGACAGATGATACATCTGAGGAACTAAAATGTATCCAGTGGGCTCCAGGAATACCTAGTTTAAAAGGGAGAGAGGCAAGATGTCTGAAAAGGTTGGGAGGGGTTGGCTCACGCAGGATCTTAGATTGACTTTTCCTATATAGACCATCAGGAAGGGCATTCAGCAGGTGGAGAATATATCAAGCGTGGCATCTAGGTTTCTCATGCTTTCCCCAGATATGAGAAACATGTGACAAGGACCATATTCACAGTGGAAGATCATAGTTTGGGACAGGTTGTTCGACATAATTTTTGAGATACCAAGGTGATACTGTCAAGCAGAAAAATAGAAAGATATGTCTGGAGTTCCAAGGAGAGGAATGGATTGCATGTGCACATTTGAAAGACAGCAAAAATAAAGAGTAATTGAAACCATTGAAGTGAATTTCAGCTGCAGACCAGACAGCAAGTGAGAAGAGAAGGAAATCTAGGATCCGGAACTGTAAGATTTAACGGACAGCTAGAGGAAAATGGGTCAGCAAAGGGAAATGAGACAGGGCAGACAGACAAATAGGAGGAAAGTGAAACAATCGTGCCAGGGAGAGAGGGAGGTGGTTTCAGGGAGGGGATGGTCGACAATGGCGAATGATCCCAAACAGGGTGAATGAAAGGCCCATTGAGATAGCTGCACTGAGTAACGAAGGCTAGAGAGACACCTATTTTGACAAAATAAGTGATGGAGACAGAAGTCCAATTGGAGAGGGCTGAGGAATAGTGGGAGGTAAAGAAACGGAGGTAATGAGGTCAGACGATTCCTTTCAGAAGTTATGCTGTGAAAGGGAGGAGACAGGGCAGTAGCTGAGGATGATGTTAGGGCAATAGGCTATGTATGTATGTATGTATGCATGTATGGATGGATGGATGAGTGAGAGACTTCTGTATGTTTAAATGCTGATGGAAAGGGTCCAGGATAAAGTGATGTCAAAGATCTAGAAGAGAGGGAATGATGTATGCTAAAATGATTGTGAGTATGAGAGAGGAGATAGGATTTAGAAGCAGGTCAAGCCCTGGGCACATAAGAGATATTTAAATATTGGCAGCTGCCTTCGAGATTTATTTTTAATGTTTAAAAATTGTGTAATATTACGGACATGTAAAAAAGAGTGCTTAAAACAAGTAGGTAGCCTAAAGAATCATTACAGTGAACATCCATGAGACCAGGCAAAAGTGCAACACTGCCAGCGCTCCGGAAGCCCCCTCTCCTGTGTCCCTCCCTTGACACACGCCCTATCCCTACTGATAACCACTGTCCCTGACTTGTAATGACTTCATGTTCTCGGATCTAGTTTTTTCCTTCATTCTAGTTTTGCCACCTGAGTATATATCCCTAAACAATGCTGTTAAATTCTGCTTGCTTTTAAACTTTATATATAAACACAACTATACTACATGGACTCTTTTATTTCAAGCTTTTTCACTCAATAATATTCTATTTTTCAGATTCATCCATAAATGAAGCTATGAAGCTGCACCTTTGTTCACTTTCAGTACTGTGTAGTATTCCACAGTGTGATTACATTACAATTCATTTATCCCCTTTACCATTAGTGGACATTTGGTCTGCATCTCATTTGGGGTTATTACAAAAATGCCCCAGATAAACATTCTTGTGTATGTGTCCAGGTGCACGAGTACCTGAGTTTCTCTTGGCTGTATTTCCAAGAGCAAATTCCGGGTCATAGAGTAGCGCATCTTCTACTTCACTAGCCAATACCAAACTTTTCCGAAGTGGTTGTATCAATTTATAACTCCTTTCAAAATAGGTGCTCAACTTTATTAGGAATGAGACAAATTGCATCATTATTATAAAGACATCTTTACTTGTCTTAGAAAGTATTACCTTCCTGAGCCAGGTGCTTCCTTAGGGTAAGTTCTAATCCAGTGATTTTTCAACCTTTTTTATTTCATGGCACATACAAACTAACTACTAAAAATCTGCAGCACACCAAAAAAAATTTTTTTCTCATCTGACAAAGATAGGTATAATTTTGATGCATTCACACCAAATGTCTCTTGTTGTGCTAGCTGTTGTCATTTTTAAAAAAAGTTGACAGTCTAAAGGAAAAGAGGTCAGTGTCCCTGACTATTTACTGCATGTTTTAAAAATTCCTGTGGCACACTAGTTGAAAATTGCTGTTCTAACCTACTGGCTCTACTTTCTCGTTTAAAGCCCACCCAAGAGTTTCCATCTCAACATGATTTGTGACCATTAAGTGAGTTACTGTTTCTCTAATGTGTAACAAGTTAGTTTCTTCCCCATTAATACTTGGTAACAGACTGTCTTGTATCATTATGATACAAATAATTGTTATATCTCAGGACTGGCCACTCTGGCAGATGGCTGATCTTTAGTGTTCTATATAGCACTGCCTTTGGGCAATTGAATGAACAGTTAAAGGCCTGAAATCTGGAGCTGGACTGCCTCAGTTTGAATCCTCACTCACAAGAGTTATTTCCATTTATGTGTAGTTCCCGGGCAGTGTACATGGAGCTGAATGAGACCCAGTCCACTCTCTAGAGGCTCAGATATGGAGGTATCATCCCAGTACACGGGTAATTAACTGAATACAAGTAATATGTCTGGCACAAAGAGCTTCAAGGGTCTCAGGGAGGAAATATCTAATAGAGCAGTCTTCCTGGAAGAAAAAATATGCATGCAGATGGGAGAAATTGAAGTAAATACTGGTCAGGAAGTCACAGTACATCACAAAGAGCTTTGAATCCCAGGCCAAAGATTTTTTTTTTTTCAATTCAGTAAGGAATGGGAGCTCTTGTAGTGCCAGGTGGCTGTGAGGTAGATAGGAGCTAGACTCTGAAAAGCATCCAGGTGCACTGGGCCAACAAACAGTGGTTTAGAAACCCTATTGTTTGGCTGCCACTACCATCAGATTCTATCAGGTGCTTTTATAAGATGAGAATAGTTTGAGAGATATGTCTAGTACAGTTTTAATGCCTAATTATTTATGTTTTTACACATTTCCAAAAACCAGTGCCAAGGTGTCTGGGTTCATGATTGTGAACCTCACTGTATTACCTTACTGCATACAAACTGCAAATGAAATACATTAGTACCTTACCATGATGGTAGATACTTACCAGCTGAGGAAAATTGTATAGAACTAAATACAGGTACATGCAAATGAGTACAATTAAGATTTGGGAGATTTGACTTTGGTGGATTGTATCAATGCCAATATCCTGATTGTGATTTTGGAAGACATTACCACTGGGGAGAAAACTGGGCACAGTGAACAATTTGTGTGTTATTATTATCTTTTTTTACAATTACATGCGAATTAACTTTCTCAACAAAAATGTCAGTAATAGTGTGCTGTAGTAAGTGAGTCACATTCCCCTTCTTCCATTTATCTATATTTAGGGGATTCCTGGGGCACATAAATTAGGCACCATTATTTACAAATCGTGAGGCCCCAAATGGAAGAAAGAGCAAAGTGCCTAGAAAGAATGAGGTCAACAATACAGGTACTGTTTTGCTATTTTGATCTACATGAAACTGAAGATTACAATTACTCCAAATTTTTGACAGTTCTGCCACAGCGAGTCAACTTCACCCAGCTGCTTTCTGATTTTCCCACTGGGTCTGTTAAGTCACTTTTGGGTCATTACCTCCAAAGGTAGGATTAATCTAATTCTCTTATTATAGAAATTAAGCCCCCCCCCGCCCCCACACAAAGGTGTGATGTGACATATACAGCATTTTATAATTTAGGGAACTTGACCCATTGCTTTGGAAAATACAACCCGCAGCGATGAGTGAACTTAATTTCTTGAATGACTTAAAGAAGACCATACTAACAAAGTAGGGTTATTTCGAACTTTGTCATTATTATTTCTCTGCTGTGCTAAACGTTTTGTGCCCAACAGTAGGGCCGACTTAGACTTGAAAGAGAGCCCTGAACTTTTATAAAGTGAAAGAAAACAGGGGAAGAAATGGCAGGCTGGGAATCCGGCCCTGGGAAGGCGTCCACCGCGCAGGAGGACAACCACCTGAATTTCCAGAAAAGGAACTTCACTTCCCCTGACTTGCGGATTTTCGTGAGTTAAGAAGCTTTGCGGCCACCTATGCTTCCCGGTTGCGGAGGAGGGAAATTGAGGCAGAGCAGACGCGGCGCACGCAGCCCCAGCCTCGGCGCCGCCCCAGGGAGAGAACCCAGGCTTCCAGGGAGCTTCGCGCGGACGCAGACTCCTCCTGGCCTCCCTCCTCCGGTCCACCCCGCCCAGCTCGGGACAAAGCCCGGAGCCCGCGCCCGGAGGAGGCAGGGCAGCTCCCGCGCGCGCCCTGCTCCTCCGTGGGCGCGAGACTCCGCCCCACCACGGCTCAGTGCGGGGAGCCCGCGCCCCAACAGCCAGGCAACCCAGCCAGGCCCGCCCCGAATCCCCATGACGTCACCGGCGGCGGCAGGCCACGCCCCCGGCCCCGGGCGGCCGGCCGCATGACGTCACCAAGGCCCCACCCCTCCGGAGCGAGTTCGGTCCTGGCGTTCATTTCATTCCTGTCCTCATTCCGAACATTCTTAGCATCGCTCGCGCCGCGCCTCGCCGCCCGAGCCGAGCCGAGCCTCTGCAGCCGCCGCCGCGGCCCCGCCGCCCGCCGCGGGCGCCCACCAAGCACTTTGCAGACTCGCTTCCACCTTGTGGGTCGGTCCGCGCGGCGGGGCCCGGGCCCGGGGCGGCCGAGTCCGGGGACAGGCCATGCAGTGAAGCCCCCCCACCCGGTCCACCTTTGCCCGGAGCCGCGGGCGGTAGCCCAGTGCGCCCAGCCGGCCCCGTGGCAGGAGCGGTGCTAAGCAGGGGTGGGGTAGCCCAGCTCGAGGACCGGGAGTCCCGGAGGGAGCCGGGCGCCCAGCGGAGGGCGGGGAAGCGGCGCCGAAGTTTGCCTCGGACTCGCCGGGCGTGCGCGGCCCCCTTCGCGAGGTAAGTCGGCGCGCGGGGCTGTTGCTGGGCGCGAGGGGCGCACGGGGCGCCGCGGGGTCGGGGGCCGGCGGCGTGTTCCGCTCCGGCCGCTCTTTCATTCCGGGCTCCGCTTTGTGTGCGGCGGGCGGGCGAGCCGGCGGGCGGAGGTCCGGGCCGGGCCCCCGTGCCTGCCTCTTCCCGCGCCCCCTTCAAGGTGAGCGGCCCGGCGCCGCCGCGCGAGTTGCCGGGACGCCAAGTTGGGCTGCGCGCCGCGGAGCCCGCGCGGCAACAGGCGGCCCCCGATGGCGGCCCCGGAGGCGCCGGGCCCGCCGCGCCGCGCCCCCAGCGCCCCCCTCTCCCGCCCGCGCGCGCACACACTTGCACATACCCTCACTCCGTCCGGCCGTTTTCACGTTTTTCTCGGAGAAGTCAGAAGTTCGAGGGAGCGCAGGCGGGGAGGTCCTCCCGGGAGCCCGAAGCCGGGTCGACACCCCCACGGAGCCTCCCGGGCACCCCGAGGCCCGCCCCGGGTCTTCGTCGACTTGTGCCGCTGGCGGGGGTTTCGCTCCTTTTCAAAGATGAAAGAAGGCAGGGTCGTCTTTGCCGCTTCTCCAGGACTGTTGCTGCCGCCGCCGCCGCTTCATTGCACATTCAAGTGGAAAATTTTCAGGAGTCAGCAGAAACATTGTGTCCAAAAAAGACTGAGTCGCAGTTACCACCAAACCCTGGAGGAGACTTTCCCTGGAAAACTTCCCTTCGGTAGGAAATACTGGGAGATTTGTTTGTTTATTGGAAGAGAAATGATCCCCAGGAGGCGAGAAAATCAGGGTGCACTTCTAGTCTTTGTTCGTAGCAGCAACACTTGTTTTCAAAAGTCCAGAGGCCCGCTTTAAAGAAAGTTCTGTGAGTTTCCTTTTTAAAAAATGTGTATTTTTTTTTTAACCGAGGCAACATTTTAAATGAGTCGAAAACAATGGAGGGCTCACAGCTCCCTCTTCTCCTCCCACGAAAGAAATAAAACCCAGATCATAATTTCCCTTGCTTTTTAATTCTTTTTTAAAGATTTATTTAAAGTCGAATGGTGTTACTGGATAAAAATATTTGTGAAACAATGAAATACCAGCCACCAGCATTTCTCAGAAGACTTGTTAACTTCTCAGAAGCAAGTGGCTGCCTGTGATTTGCAGAAATGAAAATTGACCTCAGTAAGCCCTGGAAACTTAGAGACAGATGATGTTGCAGGAGCGGGTAATGTAAAAAAGACGTCTTTTAAAAACAGTGCCTTGCAGGAAACCCAGGTCCTGGGACAGAAAGGTCTGCAAAACCTATCAGATTTTAAAATAGTGTAAAAACAAAAATAAAATGCTACAGATACCGCAGCAATGGAGTAGAGAACACTATCAGTTCAGGACAACCACATGTTTCTTTCTCCCCCCTTTCAGTATGATTGTTTCTGGAAGTTTAGGTGGTCTGATCATTTGTGGTGTGTCATGTTCCTGCAGGTGGTTACCTGAGTAGACAGATCCCTTCAGAAAGAGGTGCTCTCCCTGCATTGGGAAATGCAACCAGTGGGCTTCTTTTCTGCAGTCTGCCATGGATCTTGCTTGTGTCTTATTTATGGGGGGGGGGGGGGATTCTCTGCCAGAGTACTCTAGAGGCAGGGGTTGGGGCACAGACCTCAGGCGGTGCCCAGCGCTTCATCCTTTCACAGTTGGGTTTGTGCCCTTCCGTAAATAGGATCTTTGGGCCCAATCACATCTGAATGCTTATACGGGCCAGACTGAGATCCAACTTTGGTAAGAATCTTTTCTCTTTAGAAGGAAATAGTAGAACTAATTACAGAGTGACTCAGGAAAGACAAATGGATTAGTTGAACCTTTGTCAACAGTGAGGTTTTGAATTGTTGATAATTTTTTCGGGGAAAGGCTTATTTTTCTAATCTCAGTATTTCCATAAATGGTCACAGATATTTTTGTTTAGCATTTCTTTGTATGTGCAACTCTGTGTTGAACTCTCAGGTTTCAGGTTTTAAATGGAGTTTACAATTCTTTTATTTGTTGTTGGTATAAAAAATGAACTGATAAGCAGTATCCATTACTGGTTCTTGCTGATGGTATAAAAGTGCCAGTGTAGACCATTTTATTTTTACTGAAATGATAAGTATTATTTGATCCACAGTTTTAGGGGACTACTAGAATACCTTTTCTCTTTCTTTTTTTTTTTTACAACTTTGAAACAAAACCAGTGTGACACTCTGCGCTGACAGTAAGAACAAAAATATATTATAGGAAAGAATCTTTGTTTAGAGTCCTCCTCTGGGTGGTCTTTTGTAAGGTAACAGAATTCCATCCAGAGAATATCCCTGAGAGATTATTAGAGATTTTTTTTTCTTTTCCCAAAACATAAACCAGGACTCACCGTGACATATATTTAGTGAGATTTAATTTAAGGAGGGAGGGCAACCTAACTTGGATGGAGGCAGACTGAAATGAATTTCTCACCGAGAGGTGCTTCCTTGCATTGTGGTGCAGTGTGTGTCTGTGCTGCAGCAGCAAACTAATTACATGGAAGGGAGAGTTGGGGTGGGGGTGCGGCCCGGGGGAGGGCGGCTTTCTCCTCCCTTCCATCTTCTCTGCCTGTCTCTTGCTTTATACAGCAAGAATTCTATGTTCATACACTTACTTTGGGGATTGGCACCCCCTTTTATTTAGAAAAAGGACAAGCTGGTCATAAGGAAAACCAGCTTTCTGTTTTTGGGGGGGAAGGTTTGTTTTGTTTTTTGTTTTTGCTGCTTGAGCTTCAGTCATTTATAAACAATTTTGAATTCTGCTGGCTCTGACAATATGGAACAGCAAGTATAAGAGGGCATTTCTTAATGGGGAAATTTGGGAAGGATATACTTGTGGTTGTCTGTCATCTGTGTCTAGATCATATTTGTTGTTACATTTTCAGTAGAAAAGTATGTAACAGGGACTGTTAGAGAAAGTAGATCCCAAACGTGACAGAGGCTGTTGAAGTGAGCTGTGCCATTAACAATATTTTAAGGTTTCTTGCTTCAGAAATGGACTGATATCCCATAAGCAGTGGTTGTAAAGGAGCCTGGACATCTGTGGGATTACTCTTCGCTCTAATCTCACATGTTATTATGTGTTAATTGTGAGCATGATTATATTGCCTGCAAATGAAAACTGTTGTTTTATCACTCGGAAGGTTGGTGCAAATAACTGCGTTTCATGTATGATCTAGTGTGTGTAAGAAGACCATGTTCACGTACAAATAGTAGGTAGATAAGACTTTTAAGCTTGTATTTTAGGGACCCAGTCTTGTTTCTGAATAGATTGCAAAGGGAGAAGAAATATTGCTGAGTGAAAGCTGTGCTTCGAGGTAGGATCTGTTTAGTGGTCAAACTTTTGGGGCCTGTTTTCTCCAAAGACTGAAGAATGCTGTCCAGCTTTCTCTGTAGAACTCACTGCAGGGAAATCAGAGCCCACCTTGCTGTTGATAAATACAGGCATTACAGCTTCCCTTTTAGAGGTCAGTGACTGGAGCAGCAGAGTGCTCACGTCCTACTTCTGAACTTGGTAAGAAGAATATATTGTAAGCTTTTTGCCCTTTCACAAACTTAGGCTTTGCTGCTGGGCTCTCGGGGACTGACGGATGGCTGGAATAATCTTCTATAGCTGTGTGGTGCTTTTAAAAATTTTTATCTGTAGAAGGCACAGATTACCCTGTGGCATTTAAATTAGATCCCAGTCATGTTGGAACAATATCAGTGATGTCTTTTATTCTTTCGTATTCACAAAGGTGATACAATCAAGTAATTCAGGTTCATGCTAAGCACTTAATGTTTCAGGGTTAGGCTTTTTGACAAATACTAAGTTAGGCTCCCTTGTCCTTTGCAATTACTGGAAACATCTGAAATCAGGGAGGTTAGGGGCCTTCTCTCTTCTGGGGTAGTTTTTGGAAAGCTAAAATGTTTGGATCTAAATATCTGAAGTGTTTCGTGTGGGTTTTTATGTTGTTTCATTTCAGAGCTGTTAAGTATTGAGAGTCCTTAATCTGTAACATGCTCATCACAAGCTTCCTTGACCTTGTCCTATATTTACCCTCACAGTTGAAATTCCGCCATTTCTTCAGATACATTTGGGCTGTGTAGTGGTGCAGAACAAGATAATTTTAAAATATGTATTTTTTTTTTAAGTGAAAGCAAACGGGATGCCCTGAAGAGTGGGTTTTGGGAATGGTGGTCCTTACAGGGTGGCTCACTCTCAGCTCTTAAGTTCTTTTGTTCACTGACTTTTTGCATGGTTGGGAGGATTCTTAAAAAATAGTTTCCATCGTCTGGGAGTCTTTGGCTAACTGTGAAACCACTGGTCTCTCTTCTGATTGGATGTTGGTGGGGGAGGTTGGCTCCAGGAGGCTGTCTTTGCTACTTTCGTGGCCGGCCAAGGGAAGGCTCCATGCTGGCAGTGTTGGGAGCCCCTCTCGCCTCCCCCCAGCTTTTTAAGTCAGTGTTTACTATCCTGATGCAATGGTTTCTGCCTTTTTCCACATTAGTTTAAAAACTAATTAATGAAAGCTCTGCCCTAGGATTTCATTAGCAGTTTTAGTTGAAGGGACAGAGCCCAGCATTGGAAAATGGGTTTCAAAGGAAAAACCAGCTTATTGATGAACAAGTTACATCGCCATCATCTCCAGTGGGAAGTTCCGGTTGCTTTTAGGCCCTGGACAGGTTTAGATGTGTGTGTAAAGTGACTAGAACACTATGGACTGGGAATATACAACAATGACGAGTGCTGTTGTTTTTACTGATATATAAACTGAAAAACTGCTGCTAATGGTGGGAAATGTTAATTATGTGAGAACATATTGAACTTATATTCTCTGGCATGAACTTTTAAAAAAATGCATGAACTGCACTGCATTTTTATAGGCACAGCTTTCTAATTATCATAATTCAGTTCAGCTCTGCTCTTGGATGGAGTTCAAGTGCAATCTCAATTTAACTTGAAAGGGCTTTT